TACGGGAAAGTAGACTCAATGTGAATAAATGTTATTGTTATTTTTCTTGTCTTATTTGTTTGAGACAGGGTAATCCTGACTGGCCTGGAGCTTTGTATATAGACCATGTTGGCCTTGAACTCACAGAGACTCACCAGCATCTGCCTCCTGGATCCTCACCTTTAGTGTGAGCCAAATCAAATGTATCTGTGGTGTGACGAGATGGGAAGCCTTTCATCTACAACTTCTGGCCTAATTACATCATTGCAGTTCTGGACAATCAGAAATTAAAATGTTTTTTGGTGTTGTGAGTGAATCAAACTCAGAGAAGGTATCTATGAAGGCTGGCCTAACACACATTTCTGGGAGAAAAGCATCTCAGGACAAAGTAAGGCAAATCCCTACTTTAAAAACTGATAGATTTGGGAACCAGAGGAAAAAAAATCAATCAGTAAATTGCTTGTCTCACAGCCACTAGGATGGATCCCTACCACCTACACACACACAAAAAAAATATGTTATTTGAAGAGGTTTGTTGGGGTTTTTTTTGTTTTGTTTATGTATTTGTTTGCTTGTTTAGAGGCAGGTAGGATCTTATTATGTAGTTGAAGCTGGCCTTGATCTAACAATCTTTCATCCTCAGCCTCCCAAGGGCTGAGCTTACAAGCATGTATCGACATATACAGCTCAAAATGAACTCTTTCTTCCCTTTTTTTTTAAAAAAAAGAAAAACTTATCAAGACTATTCCCAGTGCTGTTTACCTTCTTCTTGGCCTATACTTTCTGTAATGAACTTGTTCTGTGACTGCACCAATAGGCATCCTCCTCTCAACAATTGGGTCATCTTCCAGCGTCCCATCTTTGGCAATGCCTCTGGCAGCAGAAGTTGAAGCAAGTGTTGTGACATTTTCCCACACATTCATTCTTGTGGAGATTTTGATGAGGTCACTGTTTGAGGGGCCTCACTCATGTCATTGAAGTCACGCGCCTCTCTACGACAGTAAGATCATCCTTGCCACTCTACTTGCTGCTTGTCTAAGCTTCAAGGCTTTGGGGCCTAGAGAGAAGGCTCAACAGCTAAGAGCACTTTCTGTTTCTGCAGAGGACACAGGTTTGATTGCCAGCACTCACATGTCAGCTCACAAGCATCTAAAACTCCAGTTCTAAGGGATCTGATGTCCTCTTCTGGCCTCCAGGAATGTACAACATGCAAGCAGGCACAACACCTACACACACTTATTATTTACTCTTTTTTATCCCGTTTTGTCTTCTGTAAAATGTCATGTGAATTGGCACTGGGTACTATGGGTACAGTGCTTTCTTATCTGTGCCTGAGCTAGGTAATAGAGATCAATCACCACCAAACATTCAATAAAGAACTATGCCATGCACTTACACTGTCTAAGGAGTTAAGAACTGAGTGTCAGTCCACTTCATACAATTACTCATATACCACAAACAGACACAAAGAAAGAGGAAAGAGGGAGAGAGGGAAGAAAGGAAGAAAGGAAGGAAGGAAGGAAGGAAGGAAGGAAGGAAGGAAGAAAGAAAGAGGCCTGTATTATGGACCAGATGTCACACACTCTAAAGAGCATATTCTCATGGTCTGTGACTCACAGCAAGTGGAAGACAGAAATGTCTTCATTAGATGTAAAAATAATTGAAAATTTTAAATAGGTATTTATTCAAAATAAGATAATGTGGTAAGTATATACCTTAAATTTAAAGCCTATCGACAACAAAAAGTAATTTTTAAGGGCATGTCACAGTGGTAATCAACTTAGCTATAAGAAGTCTAATTTCTTAAGTTTAATTGTTGGTGTCTTTCATATATACATATATAAACATTTTAGTTGATTCTTTGGGAATTTTACATCATACATCCCAATCCCACTCATTTCCCAGTCCTTCCATGCTCACCCTCCACCCTGGTAGTCTCCCCATCGACCCATGCCAAAAGAGAATTAAAAAACAACAAAAATCGTGTTTTAAAAGGAGAAAAAAAAACACTTTCCTCCTCCATCTTTTCCGCCTCTCCATCCCACACTCATATGTCATGGTGGCCTTGGGAACTTCAGTGTGCCAGACGGTGTCACCCTCTTGCCCAAACAGCTTTACTTGAAAATGTTCATTGCAATGAGTTTTTGGTCTGATGCAAGGCTTCTGGAGTCTGGCACACCATCAATACTGGACCCTTTCTGAAACCCCTCTTGGATAGCCTGCTGTTGCTGTAAGTCATGGAAATCCTGCAGTTATTATTCTACAGGACTGGTCCCTTCACTTGCTCCAGCAAGTCATAGATAGGGTAGGTGTTAGGATGGGCCAACTCAAAGCCCTGGAGGTGGGCCTGGGTGGTAGCTGAGCTGGCCAGTCTGGGCCTCTACTGGGACCCCCCCCCCTTCATGCAAGGGTCAGGGCCAGCTTGCTCACATTCACTCCATCTGGCTGGTGGGGGGAGAAGGGACCATTCTCCCCAGAGGTGGTATCTTTTAACATTCTATTTAATAAAAATTTTTGCAAATACCCTGCCCAAAATCAGAATGGAATTTGCTATTTTCTATTTAAAAAGAAAGTTGTCAATTCAATTCAAGAACTCAAGAGCTCGTTTTGCCATTTAATTCTCCAAGAATCTTTATAAAGAGATAAATATTAATTAGATAAGTGAATCAAAGATATTTATAGTGTGAAGAACACTGTTAAGAAGAACAGTCTACAAAAAAAGGGGAAGTGGGGAAATGAAAGATGTCTCCTTTAAGAGAGGAACAGTGAGAAGATGGGCTCCTAGCTATAGAAGCAAACTGAAGGAAGTGGCTGGCTTCAGAATGTTAATACCATCACTGCAATTTACTTTTAATATGAGTAATTAATCAACTTTTGTCACTTTCTGCAATACACTCCGAACATTCTGTATGACTCCCGTCCTTCACTGTGCTCCTTCAAGTTTAAAAGCCTGAGGCTTTCAGAACTTGCCTTGTGACATTGGCGAGGTCCTTTTTTTTATAGACTAATTAACATGCCAAGAATTTCAAACCAGCCAGAGATACAATGGTATTATTTTCCAGTATTGGAAACGTTTTTCATGCCGGCTTCAAAAACCTTGGATACATTGGTCTTGTCTTCTCAACACCACTCAGCTGACTACAGTAACTAACTTCAAATTGATTTCAGAACACCCCTTCCTGCCCATTGAAGTTCAGATGAGGAAATACTATCATAGTATGCAAATTTCTCTCATGTGAGTTCTCCGTGTCAGCCCTTTCCGGTGTTATCACCAGGAAGGAATACATTTACACTTCCAGAGGTAAAGTTACACACTCTAAACCAAGGGCCATTGAAACTAATGTTGACACATGTATGAGCAGGCACACACAGCCAGTCACGTTGTGCTCATCAGTGTTGGGGGATCTGGAACAAATGCTCAGTTCTGACTTTGAGTTATAACCACTAAAGAGCTACCTAGTCTTTTAAGGCTTTAACTTCCGATGCACCAATACACAACTCACATTTGTACCAGCTTCAACCAGCATATTAAAAAGAAGTCTACAAACAACAGCATCTCCTGCTGCCTTGCTACACATGAAGAAAGATTCTTACCCAAGGGGTGACGATCTGAACACATATTTGTTAGAGTTTGCATCATGTAAGTAAATGTACTTTTTTTAAGATTAAAAAAAGAAAACCAGAATGGAATAAAGACAATGGTCCTCCAAGATAGAGCAATATGAACATTCTAGGGCATGTTTATTCCATTTTTATTTTCCTATGTCTTGTGTTTTCCTATGCAAATTCCAGGGAAAAAATAAGTTTTACATCTCTAAATTAATTTTGACCTAATGTTTTACCCAATCCACAAAAATGGAGCTCTGTGGCAACCTCTGAATCCTACGTCTCCTACTACTGTGAGAAGTGCAGAGACTCCCACCAACATAGAGCATGACTCAAGAACTCCTGGCCTGCACATATTCAGTTTTCCTCACAGCCAATAAGGCAAGGCAGAAGAGAACCGCCATCAGAGGGACAGAGACAAATTGCTAGCCTGAAAATGCTTTTAGCCTGGCTTGATTTTTCATTTCCGTCCTCCCCAAAGTGATCAGGCTCTCCCATGGTATTTTGCTCTTGGCTCAGTGACCCATCCATAAACAACAAGCTCAGGGCATCCCCCTGTTGCAGCTCTGCTGCTTGTTCCTTCAAAACCGCCCTCTGAAATCACCCTTCTATTTTGCTTAGGCAATTCTCCCAAGGCCACTTGGGCCAAAGCTCCAGGCTCCTGGGTACAGATGAATTCTAAAATCATCTCTTCCCTCACAGTCTCATGGTGAAAACACACAGGCTTCTCCTGTCACAGAGAGGTCTTCTGCACCCCTCAGAAAGCAAACGTCATGAAAACAAAGCATCAGCCAGCCTCACTTTAATGGGAAGTGGGTTGGCCTTTATTGGGCAAACTAAAATGGCATATGAGCATGGACAGGAGTGTCTGGAGAAGAAAACGAGATGAGGAACCTGGAACCAGCGCCTTGTGTTGGCAATCAGAGGATTGCCTCACAAAATGAAAATCTACCTTTATGAACTAGAAAACATTTTCTAATGCGTGGTGGTGTCTATGCAGCAGAAACACTATCCTGCACAACAAGTTTAGGTATGGTTTATTGGCAGTGGGAGGTATGTATAATCCTTGGCCCAGTGACTCTACTTGTGACCTTAAGGGGGTAACCTGTAGCTCACAGAAAGGCAGATTTATACCTTCCCAGTTGACAATGTCAACAATACAGTACTCATTAAGTAAGGTACCCTTGCTTGACAAGCAAATGGAGGACAAGGTTTGGCAAATACCAAGAGGAGCTGACTGCAAGGCAGCGCGTAGAAATGCATGAACCCTAAGAGGAGTCTTGGGGAGTCAGCAATGGGTGTCCTAGTCTTGGGGAGTCAGCAGTGGGTGTCCTGGAGGACGGAGGAAGGGAAAGAAGCAGAAATGAGGAAGGCACACAGCTTTGACTAGAGGAGTAGGACACATGGGTGTATACCTTGACTCTGCCTCAGTGGGAACTGGGGTGACCGCTCCATAGATTCCGTATCTGTAAAATATAGAGAACGCTGTTTCTTAGAATTTTGGAAAGGATTGAGGAAGGTGATGTTAAGATAATATATATATATATATATATATATATATATATATATATATATATCATACTACTGGGATGAAAGATTTATAAAATTTGTATCTGTAATTGTCAATTTTCTACAATGAACAAATATTACTTCTTTAATGAAAAAGTCACTTCAACAAGTGTAAGCAAATAAGAAACTGTGATTCTCAGGCAAGCATTACTTAACAGCAAGGGATATGTCTGGGAAATGAGTTAAGTGACTTTGTCAGCGTGAAAACATCACTGGGTATTCTCACACAAACTGAACCAGTTACAACATTGTTGACCTATGGAATCTCACAGGACCACCGTCCTGTATGAGGCCTACTGTTGATAAAAACATCATTGAAAGGGGCTGGAACAATAGTTCAATTGGTCTTGCAGAGGACCCAGGTTCACTTTCCAGAACTGCGGAGTGGTTCACCACCATCCCTAACTCCAGTTCAGGGATACTCAATGGCTTTGCCTGGATCTGTGAGTACCTGGTGGTACACAGATATATGCAGTCAAAAAAAAATGCACATAAAATAAAAATAAATAAATCTTTTAAAATCTTTTTAAAATTCATTAAATGCCACATGACTGTATGCTTAAGGAATCAGAAGGGAAGTCCACAATTTACTTCAAAATATTCAAAAAAAAAATAGCCCATGCTGGCAATACAGATGTTTACTATAAGATTCTTCCAACTTTTACAGATGTGTTACAATAGTTATAATAAAATGTTAGGGAAAGTTTATCATTATAAAATTGCTTTTATTTTTATGCGTATGCCATATTTTTAAAAGCTCATACATTAAATGAAGAAAAACTTAATAATCTTTGTGATTGACACCTCACCAATCATACCTCCTCTAAAGATATGCTTTGTTTCCTTTCACATTTTATGCTCATAAATTTAAATCAAGCTGTGTTTGTAAGATCTTATTTATATTACTTAGCACATATTTATATTCTTATTTTTAATAATGTGCATCTGTGTGAGTGTGCCTGCGTGCAGGTGCGAGTGAGTCATATTTTAAACCCTTGCACCTATGTTTTCTCTGTTTAGAAACTTACAGTTTGAGGGCCATCATGCAGTAACTGATGGGAGCAGTGGCAGAGACCCACAGCCAAATATCAGGCAGAGCTCAGGGAACCCTGCAAAAGAGGAAAGGAAGGATTGTAGGAGCTAGCAGGATCAAGTACACCACAAGGACACTGCCCATAGACTCAACTAACCAAGGCAACTAGGGACTCATAGAGGTTGAAGTGACAATCAGGGAGCCTGCACGGGACTGACCTAAGTCCTTTGCTTATGTTATAGTTATATAGATTGGTGTTCTTGTGGGACACTTACCAATGAGAAAGGGGCTGTCTCTGCCTCTTTTTTGTGCTTTAGGGACTTTTCTTCTACAGGGTTGCCTTGTCTAGCCTTGGTATGAGGGTTTGTGCCTAGTCTTATTGCATCTTGTTACACCATGTTTGGTTGGTATTTTGGGGAGATCTGCTCTTTTATGAATGGAAACAGATGAGGAGTGGATATGGGAGAGGAAGAGGGAGGATTGAGAGGAAAGGAGGGGGAGGAGGGAGGGAAACTGCCATCAGGATGTAACATATGAGAGAAGAATAAGCAAGCAAGCAAATAAATAAATAAATAAATAAATAAATAAATAAGAAAACTACTGTTTTTAGGGAAAGTATACGTTTACGTTTTATTAATGAACTATTCTGAGAAATGAATTCCTTATAAATAGCAATAATTGGAGAATATAGCTTCTTCACATATTTGGTTTTTGAAATTTCTTACTTTTAAAGGAATGCAATACTTTGATTTCAAAATTCTGTCTGTTTTTCTCTTACGTTACAGTGGAAGAGTAGAAAAGAATCAAGCCAACTTCTCTACAAGCGGAAGCAGCCTCCTGCCAAGGGCCACCCCCACTACTGTCACATTGGAAACACCTGGATTAGGGAGAAGAAGCACTGAGTCCAGCAGTAGCCTGGGTCACTGCTGGATGTTACTGTGGTGTGTTGAAGGCAGACCCTACTCTCCTGAGTTTCCAAGGAAATGACACCTTCAATCTCCTTGGGGGAAAAGCTTGACTGCTGCTGTGTTTGGTTTAAACTATGCAACAACACTGAAGGGTTTCTTGCCATCTTCCTTTCTATCCAGAACCAAATCACTGCTCTCCGTGCTTAGTACCCACAACGTCAGGACGATTTGAGCAATTTCTTCTGAGATACAATCCCTCAGCTCCCTGAGTATAGAGTAAAGGTGGTTATTTAATTTGTTAGAGGGAAAGTAGGAGTGGGGGGGATCCAGTTGCTTCTTAAATAAATGGTCCTCTTTCTTCTGTTTCTTGATGATCATCCATGCTATGTAAGACCAGCATTCCTGATGTCTAAGAATTCCTAGAACATGACAGGAGAGTCACTGAACTTCTGATCGACAACCACATGCTCCACATACACACTCTCCGATTCGACCCATCTTTGTTCTTCAAAATGGAGGAACATTGACTTTCCTATCGTCCACTGTCCTGTGTTCCAGTCTGAATTTTCAGATGTTTCCTGTCTCTGTCAAAGAGGGAGTGGACACCTGCAACTCCAGCGTGGTTGTTTAGTCTCCTTGTGTTGTCCTGGCTTCTGAATGGGATAATTGGGCAGAGGCGTCATCATTGTTACTTTCCGTCTCATCACTGAAACAGCCTCTTATTAGCGTAAGGAAGATTCCTGTTTGTTTTCTTGAGTGAACATAGAAATTGATTCTCCTCTAATTGGAAACAGCCTGTCATATTTATATTTCTTCATGGGCTCAGCGTGAGTTCTCACGAAATGATTTCCTTCCCTCTCTAAATGCCTGATACACACAAAGTCCAAAAATCTGAAGTAGAAAACCACAAAGCTAATACTGTATCTTTTTTTGTCCTCCGGCAGTTCCTTTGATTCTTTAGTCAGTGTATACTTACTCCAGTAGGTAGGAGGAGAAACACAGACTACATACCTGATGTGTTGAGGGATATTGTGGCATGAGAAGCTAATGGCCACACATGAAGTGGTGATTTTGAACCAAAGTTTTCTTTTGAACACCCAAAGGAAAACAATGGAAAATATAATGCTCAGGATTTTAGTGTATGCTATACCTACGGAAGAAAAGCCAACTCAGCACCTACTAGTACATAGTTCTGCCAACAATGCAAATAATTCCCCCTGGTAGCCACAGCTATCTTAGGGTCTTGTCTTGAGCTGTTAATACTCTCTTACTTTAGTAGAATTTCAGAGACCAGACTCTAGGAAATGCAATGGGCAAGGTACCTAGTACGCCATCCATCCTGAACTATTCTTCAGACATCAGTGTGTTTAGAGAGCCCCTCCAGGTTTCTGCATGCGCATTTTATGCATACTCAAGAGAACAAGAAAGGGAGAAGGCATGACAAGGGAAGTTAATAGCAGCAAGAATCATATTGGAGTGCTCTTTTAATTAACAGAAGCTAATGAGCGTGTCCTTTGTGAAAGAAGTCATTTCCAGGTGGCAGTTTTCAGTACCACTGTAATAAATAAACTAGTTGAAGCTTCAGGGAACAAGATGTAAATTCCTGAGATAATTTTATTTTCTACCCAGGATTTGAATAACTTAAAAAGAAGGAGAAAACAAAAGAGGTTTTTTTTCCAGTTACTAAACAAATAGCTACTTTATAGAGAAGCTCAAAACCAAATATGAAGAGTCACCTCAATACCACACAGCAAACCTGTCAGAGATTCCTGTCATGAACCTGAGGAGAAGATAGAGATGAATGGGGGCTTGGTCCCATCTTTAAGTCAAATTGACAATCTGGGTGATGGAAGAAGAAATTGAAAGAGCTACGTGAAAATAAGAAATCCAAATGGCCCAAGAGCCAAAACATTGTGAAAGAAAAAAGTTGTCAAAGGAACAATATTTTTTATTTGTTTGTCAATGTCACTGTTTTTCATTCTCCACATGCTGTCCTGTAAGTCTCCACACCCTGACTGAAGTTCTCCCTGATTTCAGGGACAGGGTTTCTCTGTCACAGGCACAGTGTAAGTTTTTTGGTGTGTGTGTTTTCAACATAAAGGGCTCAAGGAAAAAATGAAAGTTCCTGTCTCCCGACTGCAAGATGTAGACTCAATGGGGAAGGATGTTTTCTCATCAGTTTCAAAGATGGGCTTTGAGCTATCAACTGACCAAGCAGAGGACTGTGCAAACCTCAAGCACACAGAGAAGGGATGGGAAAGGGCAGGAAATGGGAAAGCTAGAGCAGGAGAGTTACACGGAGCAGGAAAGGGTCAGACAAGACGCAACCCCTTCTGTCTGGAGCAGCTCTGACCCAGAGAGCTTTGTTGCAGCGGAAGGATGCAGAAATCAGGAAGACTGGGGAGACAATGTGGGAGAAGATTGAGGGTAACTGTCCCAGGAAATTTTGGTGAAGGGTGTCTGCCTAGTGAACTGTGGCAATCTGCGCTATAGCCTAGTGGAGCTACATTGGGCTGACAGTGCCTCACAGTCCCTCAATTTTCACTGCAGCACAAATTGAAACTGATCTGTGAAGTTCCTGGGGTCCTTCCAAGGGGACAGGGAAGCTATCTGCTCACAAGATCCATGCCTTGGGGAAGGGAGAACCCTAGCACAAGTTGCAAGGTAAAGGTCAGCCAACCTGGGGAGCAAAGCATTGAAGAAGCAGATGGTGGGAAGACTATAACATACATCATATCGGGAAATTACCATGTGCTGCTTGAGCTTACCTAGAAGCCAGCTCTAGAGACAGGATTGGCCCTTCCACTTCACAACCAAGCATATTTATATTAAGTGTCCCCAAGGCCCCGTGTCTGGGGAGGGGTTGCTCCTAAACTCTGTAACAGAAAGAGATGAGAACAGCAAAACATGCCAAGAGTAAGACCACTGTGCCCTTGAGAACAGCCTGGAGAATTATTTCCAACAGGGATTACTATTGTTTATCCCACCCAGCAGTGGAAAAGAAAAGATGAGAGGCATAGCCATGGAGAAAGCTCAGTGGGGAACTTCAGCTGACTCCCTCAGCTTCCCTAGCCAGTTCCTGTAGGATGTCCATGAGCCCCTGATTTGATGATGGCATCTCTAATCTGTTGCTATTTGTTTTTAATTGGATGCCTTGTCTCGGGGGACAATGTTCTCTGTCAGGATCTCTCTCTGTTGGGAACTCCAGCTGGCTGTCTTAAAGGAACTTCCCCAGTTATTTCTGCTGGGTATTTTGTGCATCTCCACCATTTTATGTTGTTTTGCTGTCTATTTATTGGTTTATTGCTTTACTTTGGTTTTCTGTATACTTAATGAACATTAATTCAAAACACAATGCATGGCTGTTTTTTGACTGTATAAAACAAAGAGGCGGGGGCATAGGAAAACAATAGATGATGACTTATACCATGGAGAAATATCTCCAGACAAAGGCAGGGAGACTCACAGAAGGTCATCCAGTTGTATCTGCCTGCTCTAGGCTATGAACACTCAGTGTTTCCCATGTATATATCTACATGTGGATAGACAGCGCTTGTGAGGGGCGCCAAGCCATGCATGGAGTGTGAACCATAGTAACCTAAGAAATTGAACAGGAAAAATGGAGCTTATGGGTGGCTGATGGGATGAGTCAATGTGTATACGGAGCCCACCATATATATATCAGATGTAGGGATATTGAAGAGAGGAGATATTGTACTACTGTGGGAGACAGAAGGATTAGGACAGAGCATGCTTTTTACAGCATAATAGGAGATTTATGGAATCTTGACATATAGAAATAAAACAGGGATTTTAGGTGACAGAAGAGATCAGTCATCAATCAGGAAAAGGGGAAATATGGGTCAACACACAAATGAACAAAAGAGGTCCAATTTGGCTGATATCTGAAGTCCTCCTAAAACAACCCCCATTTGCTACCTAAGCCCTGTGCTTTGTGTTATGTAATGGGAAGAATTTTATAAACATACCCACACACACCCACACACACACTATAAATATATATATATATATGTGTGTGTGTGTGTATGTATATGTATATACGTATATAAAATATATTGACATGTGCAATGTCCAATCTTCAAACCTATTGCCTTGAGCCTTCC